CTCGAGTTCAAGATGTGCTCGAAGGTAAATTGTGAAATAACGGCTTACGTGTTACTGGTGGTGAATATTTTAATATTATTCTGAATCGTTGTTATCTGTTTGAGATGGAAGGGGGAATAGAAATAATATAATTATTACTATTAATCGTGAAAGTTGTATGTATGTATGTATGTACCTATATAAATTTTACAACCAATGGAGTTTATTTTGATCAAACCAATTTTTACCTCTTCTTATCAAAAAAGGTAATATAACTTCTGTCTTGATATTAGTGGACGAGTTCTTGATCTAGTTCGATTTTTCGTAATAATATTATTATTTTTTAAATTTTACATTCGTTTCAATTCCGAGGCACCACATTAATAAGTTTCAGTTATTATTATTATTATAAAAGTTAATTACAATTAATAAATAATAAAAATACCTGTTATTACTTTAAAATATAACGTGTAGAAAATGGAAAGGTTCTTCGTGAATTGTATTCTGTAATTGTACTCTGCTCGTGTCTTAGATATAAAACTATTTGCTGAATATTATAATGAGACTTATTAAATGAAGTATTTACATTTATTTTTTTCAATTAATTATATGAGAATGACATTTATATTATTAAAATAAATTCATATTTAACGTCTCAAAGTTAGTATAAAACATATGATTTATGAACATACTTTTATATTTGATAAACATATATAAAGGTTTCAATATGATATATTTATATGTAACTCATTCTATATCAAGTAATGAAAGTCACGATAGTATTACATATGATTTAATACGTACACGGCCACATATTGATTGAATATATCCCAAATGTATTGTTTATTCTGATGCTAATCATTGCTCATACTAACCTATTATACATATAGGAATTGTTATCATCTTTCATTATATATATAATAGTCGTATAACTCAATATAGTCTCATGTTCGTGTTCGTTCCCCGTCTCTCTCTCCTGGAACGTATTTTCTTAATAACAGTTCAACATCACTCATGTAGCAGCACGCCTCCTCACGGCGAGCGAGGCTTGGTGAAGACTCGTTCAACTGAATTAACTACAGGAGACACTCGATACAATTAACGTTTACTATGAAAACTAAGTTATAAAGTCGATAAACAATATAAATAACCTACCATAATAAACACGAAAAAGACTTATTTTATATTTAGTTTAAATATATTTATTTTTGTATTAGATTCTTTGATAAATAATTCCTTAATAGGAAATGATCATGGCATTATATAAAAATAACAAACATAGGGAGAAATTTTCTCATTTAAGTGAAATATATAATAAAAATTAAATTCTTTGTCATGTAATAATAATTTTTATTTATTAATATGTCAATAAAAGTTTCCAAGAGAACATATTTGTTCATATTAGAAGTCGATAATTGTGTACGGTGTAGTATTTCAAAGCAATATCCTATTACTTCAAGTATAACGTCTATTGAGTTCCACATTTATTTTATTTATATGTTCTTATTAATTTTGTTTTCTCCAAAAGATATGTGGAGTAATAATTAAGATATGGTTAAAGTAAATTTCAAATTTCAAAAATCAGTCTATCAGAGCCCACTGCTGAGCAAAGCCTTTTCTCACATTGAGAAGGTATGAGCATTAATCACCACGCTTGCTCAAGACGGGTTTGCGATTTCAAACTTAGAATTGGAAATTATAAGTCCAGATTTCCTTCCAAATTTTTTCTTCACTGCCTGTGAGTGGTGTCTAATTACTCTTATAAAGTACATATGACTCGAAAAAGTCACATTGGTACTTGCCAGGATTCGAACCCGCGGCCTCATGCATGAGAGGCGGCCCTGTAATCACTATGCCACCACGATTTTTTAAAGTAAATATTTACTTTAATAATAGTTTATATACAATATAATCTTGTGAATAAGATAAGTCAGACGTATTAAGTGAGATCAGCGTGTCTCTCGTAAGTAAAACACATTGCTTGGCATCGCTGATGACGAGTGTATGCCAACTCTACAACATCGGCTCCTGGGAGATTTGAAACACACTTTATTACTGTACAGTTATAACAACACTATGTACTAAATAAAATAATTATACCAAAGATCAAGTACAGTACCTTGAATGAGAAGTTACGTTTAAATAAATAAAAATCGAGATGTGATCAATCAAAAACAAAATAAAACTGTCTGCTTCTTGAAGGTTAAGTATATGTATGTATCTACATATATAGATAGTATGATATATATTTTAATTGGATATACAATTATTTGCTTTGTTTCTGATGTAGTAAACATAATAACTTTACAAATTATAAATAATGATACTTGATATATTCGCTTGTATACATTACAATGAAAGTACGTTTTTAAATATTAAACAAAAGAAATCAAATTTTAGTTAAAAGTTAGATTAATTTTCAAAAAGAAGATATTTTTTTCATAATGTTTTTCTAAAGACGAAGTTAGAGCAAGAGCTTCACTTGGTGCTATGTAACTGAATCTTCATTTTATTATAATTATTAATATAATAATGTACACAGTAACCACAGTAAGAGTTTGTTTACGATATTATTTACACTGTGTTATAAATCCGTGGAGGCCTAGTGGTTAAAAGGCCCGCCTCACATGCATAAGGGCGCGGGTTCGATCCTGGCAAGTTACAATGTGATTTTTCCGAGTCATATGTACTTTCAAAGAGTATTTAGACATCACTGATTAATGCATTCCCAAAGAGGGTTGATGTCAGGCAGGCGGCCGGTCGTAAAAACAATTAGCCAAAACTATTCACAACATGTAAGGCAGACCCTGGCTGAAGCTGGGAATTTGACGGGTAGAAGGAGAAGAAGATTATTTACTATGTGTCTTCATATATTATAAATTTTGAAGCGAAATCTTAAGAAGGTGTATCATATTAGCCATATACATTTCCATATACAACTGACTTTTTAAAGTTTTTTTTTGTAATTTTAATCGAATTTACCTATAGATTCACTGTAAAATATAATATAGTTGATTACTTATAATTAACTAAAATAATTAACTATAAATAAAAAAAATATGTATTGCGAAACCCACACAGTAACTTTACCTAATTAACTTCTGTTACTTCTGATTAACTTTGAACCACAATCTATTGTTATATTTTTATATGGTCTCTTATGTACAAAGTCATAAATGATGAGCCTGAGCATGTAATTTATTTAATCACCACAAACATGCCTGTTAAAAAGGGGGCCAAGTTCCAATCGGCTAATTGTTTGCCTAAAAAAGGGGTGAAATCCAATCTAATGCCAAGTTTAGATGCACTTTGAAATCGACCATAATCATCTTCATCAACAGCATGATCCACTGGTAAACATTTGCCATTCCCAAGACTCGCCACCACACCCAGTCCTCTGCCTTCCACATCCAGCCATTACCCGCCACCTTATTCACGTCAACGGTCCATCTGGCCGAAATTCACTTTACCATACACCCAACTTAAAATATGGTATAGTTGTGAAAATACGTAGGTGCTTGGTTAAAAATATCTAAAATTATAATACTTCTCAATTTGAACTTGGCAGGTTTTTGTGCTGTACGTAACACTTAATTAATTGTATCATTAATTTATTATTTAGTTATATAATTATTTATATTTATATAATTTAAATAATTAAATTAACAATTTAAATTAAATTGATTTCCAAGGTTGTAAAGGTTAATAAATTAGTTTACACGCGGTTTCTTTCATCATTGTAGCGTCTTTTTTAGTTTTTTTTTAAACTAGATTTATTTTTTATTTTTTAGTTTCATTTATCACCGATTGATAGATGTACTCTTATTATTAATTATTAATATTTCATTATTATGTATTTTATTGTGCTGAGCTGAGCGCCTATATAAAGGTTTTGATTACCTGTCAGCGAGTCAGTGGCAAAATTAGCTATTTTCACAGGGTCATATTTCAGGATCTACTGAAGCTTTATCTATGAAATTTGGCATACTGCTTAAGGACTAGTATATTATTACGTAGGTACAATTTTATCTCTGTACTTGCAATAGACACTGAGCTACAGGGGGTCAAAAGTGGGTCGAATTTATTAAAAATTCGATATTTAGGATTGAGGCAACTCACGCTTGACCGATTTCTTAAATTTCTTAATTTTTTGTTAATCTTCATATAACACACAACCTGTGTACCAAATTTCATAATGCTAAAACAATGGGAAGTGGCCTAGAGGTTTTGATTACCTGTCAGTGAGTCAGTGCCAAAATTAGCTATTTTCACAGGGTCATATTTCAGAATCTACTGAAGCTTTATCTATGAAATTTGGCATACTGCTTTAGTTCTAGTATATGATTACGTAGGTAAAATTTTATCTCTGTACTTGCAATAGGCACTGAGCTACAGGGGGGTCAAAAGTGGGTCGAAACGGTTCGTGTAAATATAGTGCACGGCATGCGCCGGCCTGTGGAACTTGGCCGGCGCACTACCGTGCGCTTAGATTAACATCTCTTACTTTCAACCGGTTCAGGTTATAATATTTGTTTTTTTTTAAAAACAATTACTTCACCTCACTCCATCTAAAGGTAAGACTACAACTGTTCATGTTCAAAAAAAAATAAATAAAAACTATAAACTTTGAAGACAATCTAGTACTGTGTAAATCATTACAAATAACAAAAGATTAAACATTCCAGTTATCTACATACATACATTTTAATACCTTTGAACCTATAAATCAAATCGTTATTCAGAAAGTAATTCAACCAATTCTTGTTAATTCAATATTTATAGGTTTTGTTTCATCAAATCTTGAATATCAAATCACAAACAAACACCGCTGTACTTTTCATATTTACGTTAAAATTATAATATTTACGTTAAAATTATAAACCACATTACATATTTTTAAAACCACAAAGTTTAAATACATTTTTTAACATTATCTGATAACCTAAAGAGATATATGAAAGAAATTTAACTTAATAAAAACATATAAATGTCGAACTATTTATATTTATATAATATATGTATCATGTAGCATTATCTTTGAGTTCATTATAAACGTTTGGGTTGTACAGAGTGTCTGCGTTTCGTTGAGCGTGGTCTAACATGGCTTTCTTGAGGAGTTGGAAGAAGAGACGGATGCGAGGATGTACCGGCACCTTGAATTGACGGAGTTTAGTTATGATCTCCTGAGCCTGGAATAATAACAGTCATTTAATCATATAGACCATTCATAGGTTCGAGTCAGGAGAAAATGGTATAGTTTTAATCGCGACGATAAGATTATTGAAGCAACAAATTCATGTTATGCCAGCGTGTTTTTGATTTAACTAATATTTTCGAATTTACTACGCGACCCGAAAATATTAGTTTCATTTATATGAGTACGCGCGAAAATCTTAGATCTCATTATAAAATGTTTCAATTGTGAATGTAGTAATTATCAATTATCTTCACTGTTTTATACTCGTTGGGAACATAAATGAATCATTTTAACTTCAGAAACCCCCTTCAAATTATATACATGGTCAAACTGTATAAAAATAGTATAAAGTAATTAGTTTTGTAAAGGTTGTTTGACTCAGAGAAGCATATAAAAGAAATAATACTCGTAGAACTACAAATCCCTCAAATCACCAATCTTGATTATCCTTTTGATAATTAATTTTTCAGCCAAATTTTAGTAATAAGTCTAAACGCATTATAATTAAAAGACTATGATAATATTATTATAATAACAATACTTTTGTATTCTTACATTTTTTGATAGTTCTGTATCCTTTTGTATTTTACTGAAATCACGCTCAAGTGTGAAAATATGTGTGCATTCCTGTAGACAAAGAAAAATATTGTTAAAATATTATAAGCTTCACTGAAAGTATTGTTAATTAGATTTTAAAAGAGATAGAAGTTAAAATTATTTTAAATAATAGTTTTAGAAAATGCAAAAAAACAAACATTCAGATAAAAAAATCAATTAAGGTATCGAGAAAAATAATAACTTACAACAAACACGAATAATGATATCGTTGAGTAAAACAAAAATAACATTTTGTTCTCTTAGTTGGTGATAACACGCATGAACAGTATTTGAACACTTTAATCATTGTATATAGTTATTATGTTTCTGTACTTTGTTCATATAAAGTTGATGTTTTACATTGATTCTTAGTTTATTTATTATATGAGACGTTATATCTAGTGGATATTGAGTATAATCTGAAAGTAGAACTACTGATATGAATAATATAAATGAATTTATAAGTAAACAATGTTTTATAATATTTTTTTAATTATTCTCAACGAACTCATTAGATAAAACAAAATTTAAATAACTTGAGGCAAATGTAAAATATGAAAGACTAGTGAAGTGGCAATATTTAATACATTTTTATTTATCAATTACATAAAAAATATCAGGAAGTACTGGTTCAAGACCAGATAACAAATTTTTTAACCGAAAATGCATGTCGCAGTGGAAATTGAAGCAACCTTTTAATGATATCAAGTTTTAGGTTTCACTAATCGTGACAAACGTATTATACAAATGTACAATATAATATGTCATTTTCATGATACGTCTGTATGATAAATACAATTCCTTCCAATCTATCCATAGAGTGAACATTAAAAGGGCAGAGGACGCTCGGTACGTTTTTATTTAAATCTGCTCCCAGTCTGTGAATACAAAGGACTCAACTGATGATACGTAAAATGAATAATAAAAACTTACTTAATTACTTTACTTATTGTTGCTAGTATTTTGATAGTCGTTGAGTCACATCAACATGGATTTGATTGTGATGAACAATATTTTGACATGAAATAAAGGATAATACATAAAAAGAAATTAAAAAGATTTCTTATTTTCACGTTTGTGACTGTTTTCAAAAAGAGAACTAAAGGTAATATTGGACTATAGTCCAAAGATTTACATTATTCAAGTATTTTTGTATGCTACAGTAATTTGTATTTTACGGTTTTGATATTTTTAAGTTGATACAAAAATATATAAACTATGTTCAAATACAGACTTTTCAAGTTTTTACATTTTTATAATTTTTCATATTTATTATTTGTCTATTTAATTAAGATTCAGAAATAAATTTAATATTTGTTATTGTAAACTACAGTTAATTGATATCAATCTACTTGTTATTACATTATATTGCATTACATTACCTTACACACACTTCTTCTACCTGGCAATTTCCCAGCTTTAGCCAGGGTCTGCTTTACATGTTTTGAGTAGTTTTGGCTAATTGTTTTTACGACTGGCCGCCTGCTTGATATCAACCCTCTTTTTGGGAGTGCATTAATCACTGATGTCTAAATACTCTTAGAAAGTACATATGATTCGGAAAAGTCACATTGGTACTTGCCAGGATCGAACCCGCGCCCTCGTGCATGAGAGGCCTTTTAACCACTAAGCTACCACTGACTGTAACACACTCCCTCTCTCTTTTCTTTTCAACTAATTCTCCGGCTACCAATGCTTGATAAGGACCTGATATTTTGAAATCGGTACAACACATCCAAACTTCATCACCAAAGCAACGGTCGACTGTACCCCGGGTCCCAATTTTCCGATAAGCAAAAGACGTGATAAAGGTCTGCTCTTAACCTTGTTGATAAAGTAACAACAAACAAAAAATAAAAAAAGACTTTTGAGTATTAATGCTAGTGTACTCATAATAACGCTAAAACCTTTAAGTGCTGTTCAATAAATAAATAGAATACTTAGTTTGTCTTTAACTGTATCTATGGACTAGCAACCCTCAAACAACTAACCAGTGGACTAGTGTGACGTCAGAATGATGACGTCACTATTTCAAAAATAGTTGCTTAGAATTCTACTAAATATAATAAAAGTAAGACTTCCTTCATATTCTGTGAGCGGCGACTCATTAAGGAAATATAAAAATTATTGTTTCAAACGCTGTTAGCTAAACTACGAAAAAACTTTCAAAAACATATAAATTATTTAAAAATGTTTTGTTCTAAATAATTGTAGTCTTTGTAAAACTTTATTATATTTTGTTTAAATGATCAAATCTCAATAGAAAAAATGGTTTATAATTTCGTAAACAACCCCAGCACTAAAAAGTTGGAAGTGGAAAAACAAATGAACGTTTTTTTTAACCGTTATTTTTACGTCAAAGGGAAATGAGAAATTAATTGAATTATTTTATGAATGCAGTCTTGTATTGGGGACCACAGACTGTAAATACATAAGTAAAGTTATAATATTGTTAATATTTTTTTTTAATAAAACACAAATTAACTACATTTTGGACTGAAAATAATCAAAAACCTTAGTAGTACATGTTCTAATAGATAACATTTCCATATATAAACAACGAACAGATAACATTTGATTTAGTTTACATGAGACACAAGCGAATAGATATTAGATACTGTGACTTAAACCTGACACTAGTTTGGTTGATGAAAGATTGTTTTGGTGGAATAAAATCATGCAAAACAGATTTTTAATAGAAAAGTTAGTTAAAGAACCTAAAGCAAACATTGTTGTTTAAAAACCTTTCAATCAAAATCAATACTGATATAATTTACATGTATATTTATTAATAAAGTGTATGTGAATTTAGTTTCAGTTTTTCAAAAGCATACATTTTTCAGCATTATAACAAATGCTTGCAATGTAATTGTTATTTTGATAATGTAAAAGTTAATTTTGTTGTGTTGAAATTAAATACTTAAAGTTTATTTTAATTTAAGAGGAAAATATCACGTACACTTCAAATGACGAAGTGACTGTGTGTGTACTGGGAATGAAAACTACAAAAATATACTTTGTTTAAGTTTGTTTTATTTATAATTTTTTCTCATACCGTTGGCATTAAGATCATTTCGTTGCAATCTGCATTTATTAAGAGACAGATATCAAAAAGTATAAAGGACTTCACTCTACTACAACCCAGTTGGATAGTCGCCAATAGTCTTGAATTAAGGAATCCTACACGACCACTCAATCCCAGCATCCATTTAAATCAATGCATTTCTCCTTTAATTGGCTTTACACCGTCCATATTTTAAAACAAATAAATACTACGAAATACGCAAGTTGTCTACCATTTTAATAATCATTTATTCCGTATTGAAAATTACTAAGAATTAATTTATTAGAATATAAAGCAAATTGCGGATGACATAAAATGATAATGAACTTACAAAAATGAACTTGACATGATGTAACACATGCCTTTGTTCCTTATAATAATGTTTTCAAAAAATAATCAATACTATTTTAGGTTAGAGTTTAAAAATATACTACCACAGAGGACCTCACTAAAAGAGTCTTTGGAGGTTTTAAGCAAATAAATCGAAACTAATAATTGTACAAATATAGAAAATAAATTGGAAAATAACTTTATATCTATTTTTTAATTAAAAACATGTATTGTTTCAATCCCATAATTGGAAATGTAACAATAGAAAATATTCATTAAAATATGTAGAGCTCGTGTTTATTATGAATAATTCTTATAGCTTATAATAGAATATGAATCTGGATCGATACAATCAGTATTGTCCGTCGAGTTGTTTGTTGATAATGTAAAAATGTATTTGTAAAGACATAATCATTTCAATATATGAGTAGTTTGTATAATGATCAAACCTATCATAATATTAACCTATGCTCATCACCTCTTGTAATATAAATGACATACATTTAGTAGGTGGTAGAGCCTAGCTGTAGTCAGTTACTACAGCTCGAACATGGGCTGGCTCGACCGGGGAAGTACCACCCTCTCACAGAAGATCGGCGTGAAGTAGCCATTAATGGCTGCGTTTCGTCCGATGAGTGAGAGAGCCGGTTGCCCTTTCCCTATTCCTACCCTTTCCTACCATTTCCTTATTCCAACCCCTCCCTATCCCTAAAAAACAAGGTTGGCAAAGCATCCGTAACAAAGATGTTGCGGATGTCCATGGGCGGCGGTTACCACCTTCCATCAAGTGGGCCGTCTGCTCGTTTGCCACCTTTCGCATAAAAAAAAAAAAAAAAAAAAAAAAAAACATACAGTTTGGTGCCTAAATATTATTAGAAAGTACATAATATGACTCGATAAAAATAACATTGGTACTTGTCAGGTTACAATCCCGCGCCCTCATGCGTGAGATTTATAATTTTAAATTAATATTTCTTATATGTTAACATGTAATAGTTATACATGTAACAATAGTTCTCGCTTCATATTAGTTACCACATCTGATTTGTAACCAAATAATTCAAGATTAACATTTAAAACTATCATAATATAGTTAATTTTTTTTTTGTAAAGGGAAATTAATATTATCCATGCACGTAGTATCAATGGTATAGATGCATAAAACACATATTATATAAAAATACAGTCAGCAATGCTGCCGTCACAATCACTGTTTTCAACAGTCAGCTTATCCAGGTTCCATTTTCATTTACCTATTAATACACTCACAAACATTGTCTCTACTTTATTTCAGACTTTAACTAGCACTTGTTATTAGATAATCTTTCTCCTGAATGGCTCTCAGACTACTGTGTCCCTTCCGCCAACGTTTGCGAATATAAATGGTTTTTGTGAAATCAAAAAGTACATTTACTCTTTTAATTTGAAATATTAAGATATGACGAATAATCTTAGTTATTCAAATAAACACAACACATTACATTAGTTTTAGTCATTAATTATTAAAACATCCAATCTTAATATTGCAACTTAACAGTTTATAGAAAACATAATTAATTAACATTCAATACTAATAAGTTACTAATTAAGTTCCCTTTTTACTGAAGAATACAGAATGATTAATCGTCACATATTACAAATCAGGGAACGAATTAACTTTTACTGTTCTTTAATATAAATCATGCAACGATCTCTATAATAAATTATTTTGTTAAACATATCACTAATGCAATGGCGTCAGTGATTTGTTTATGTCACATCTACTCTCTAAAGTAAAATACTTATGAAACAACAACCCCTTATAAGGGTTTTAAATGTTGTTGCGCCGACATATATATTTAAATTTCTTATTAAGTTAAACAAACACTATCTTCCATATAATAATTTAATCATTGTATGTAATGATACTTATTATTATTTATGAGAACTCGAATGAGAACGGAATGTATTTACCAGGAGCGATCTGAAGATTAAATGTTATTAATTAAAACTGTATAATCTTTCAATGTTAATTAATCTCACCGCGATCCGAAATGAAATTAATGAAATAGAAGAAAATCTTATCGATGATGTGATTTTATTAATATTATTGAATGAAATCCTATTGAACAGAATTAACTTGGAATCTTTATCAAAATATCTTTTAAATCTATTCTCTTGGGATGTATTCAATTATTTCTTTTTTTCTTGGTCTTTAAATAATTTGTGTTTTTTTTTCTTATTAATGCTGGAAGTAATTAAAATAAGTAACATAATTATACAGGGTGACTGGTGAATTACTATCAATATTTAAGGAGAATACTCGGTACATGATTCTCATTCGAATTATGTAAAAAAAATAGGCACTTAATTTTTTACCAAATTTCCGTATAAATAAATAAAGTGTTGACACGTTCCAAGTGTTCCAAGTGTGGACGCGTGCGGCGGCGTGCTGATACAACACCACGCCGCCGCACGCGTATGTGTGCGTGTGTGTGTATACCTAATCTGTAGGGTGTTCACACGATGCGTAATTAATTACATAACTTTTGGTTAACTTTACTTAGAAGTTTATTAATATTTATGTTATATTAATTTTTATTTTGTCATATATGATCGTCAAATATCACGTCCTCAAGTATCGATAGTAATTCACCAGTCACCCTGTATATACCGTTATGTTTTAGTTATTATATGCGACATCATCCGCTGGAATTAGATTAATTGTTCATTGACTAATAAGTTTGTTAAATTCAAAGCATTATTCCAGAGATACGAAATTGTTATTACTCAGACATTGCGTTCATCTTTAACAAATTCATTTCCAAATACCAACGGGTAGATGGACAGGATCACAGTATTGAGGCTAAATTAAAAAAAAACATTATTTTGTCACAGTTTCGGAGTAAATTAATTAAAAGTTGGCAAATTAAATCATTCAAAGGATATAATAAAACTATTTTCATTATACATATATTAATCGTTAACAAAATTTTTCATCTTTCTTAATTATTTGGTTGTGATAAAATTTATATTTTAAATGGTAGCTTCTCTTAAATCACCAGACAGGTAAAATAAGCTAAGTTTTATTGTTCTAATATGTTAGTTTACAGAAGAAGATGAGAGATTTTGAAAAATACTATTAATACAAATTTTACATATAATTATAATAATTACTTTCATATCAGAATAAACTGACTACAAAATATAAAGATTTTAATTTTTAAATAATGTGAATATTTTGTAAACAAACTATAGTTTGAGCTGAGGAAATTCCATCGACCCCACACTTTGTAGAGGATCAAATGACCATCGAAAATTCCAAGTCTTTGCTTTGGGAGCCTTATGAGATAATTTCAGTAAATTGTCACAAGATTTAATTTATAAATTTAACCTGTAGTAATAATAACAAGATTTTATTCAAATCCACAGTGAATGAAATAAATACAATGAGGCGAGTGTGAGTTTATTTATCGTATAAGCTTATTAATCATAAAAGGAAATAAAACAAGAATAACCAATGATCATGTGTGAAAATAAACAAGAAGCCGAAAAGACACAATCCCTACTAATATTATAAATGCGAAAGTAACTCTATTTGTCTGTCTGTCTGTCTGTAACGCTTTCAAGCCTAAACCACTGAACTGATTTTCAATAAAATTTGGTACAAAGATAGAGTTGACCTTGAGAAAGAACATAGGATAGTTTTTATCCCAGACTTTTGAAAGGTTCTCTTGGAAACGCGATATAACCGAACTCCACGCGGGCGAAGCTGCGGGCGGAAAGATAGTTGGATTATAAATAAAAGTATATATATGTATATGAAAATGAAACTAATATTTTTAGGATTATATTACGCGTTATAACCCCAATAATATTAGTTTAATTTAAATGAATACTCGCGACAGTCTCAGAACTCATTAATATATGTATGTGTATATTAGGAGAGGTAGAGACCTTCTCTACTTCTCTACTTTCCTACTATTATTTTAAATGCGAAAGTTTATGAGGATATAGGGATGGTAACGTGCACTAATTTAACAAAAAAACTACAAAAAGATACTAGTTGCTGAAGTTTATTCTTTGATGCTATTTTTTTATTGATTTTAATAAATGAAAAACATATAAATATTTTTATTTATTTTGTTCTCTACTTTTTTTGTTATTTTCTTCTGGAACCTTATACATTGTAGTTATTCATATACATATATTAATGGAAACAGAACATTCTTAGAAGTCTCGATTACTATTCAAGACTAGAAACAAGACCAAATAAATAGTGAAAGGGTTCTCGAAACATTTCTAATGAAGGTCGGATTGAGTAGTAATATAACTAGTTTCAACAAGACTCATCTTCATCTGAAGAAGAGTTCAGTTTCTTCTAAATATTATAGTATAATTTTTCGTTACAAACAATTAATAATTATAATACTCATAGTGAAAATCTAATATCTAATCATATATATCGGATTTATTACACGTTCGTTGTTTTTAAAGAGAGAGAGACGCCAGCCTCGCTGACGTTACAAATGTCACTTCTTCTAGAGCGTTCCATGATATTTTAAAATTAAACTTCAATTGGTTTTAATGCTCCTGTATTTCTCGAAGGTTCTTCATAATGACAATCTTCAATGATACGCACTCACTGAACTCTTAACTCTGCTGTCGTGCGTCTAAACGTCATATTTATACCAAAATTCAAACATAGTTGATAGTTCTATTCTCCTTTTAAACAATATTTGATTTTTTTCGTTTTACTTTTAACAATAATCATAAATACTAATGAGTTTTAATAAGAATTGATGACAGTCTCAAATTATTTTCATGTCGCA